CCTGGGAACAACAGGAGAATTCGGACGAGGAACTCCAAAACGAGTACTCGTTCAAAGACGAAGACGTTCTAGCTATTTTCGAGACCCTTCTCAAAAACAACAAAATCAAGCTCCCACCCATCACGCATCAAGAGGAAGATGGCGATTTTGCGGACCCAACGTACTGCGAGTACCACAGAAGGATCCTCCACCCCACCAAGGAATGCTTTGCTCTCAAGAATAGCATCCAGACCTTGGTTGAAGCCGGCGTTATAACGCTAGGGTAAGCCAATTGAAAACGGCATAACTCCAAAGAGTACAAGAGTATAAACTGTTTCTCAATACTCCGATAAGTATAAGAGTATAAACTGCTTCTTACACTCCGACGAGTATACGAGTATAAACTGTTTCTCGAAACTCCAAAGAGTACAAGAGTATAAACTGTTTCTCAATACTCCGATAAGTATAAGAGTATAAACTGCTTCTTATACTCCAAAGAGTACACGAGTATAAACTGTTTCTCAATACTCCAAAGAGTACAAGAGTATAAACTGTTTCTCAACACTCCGACGAGTATACGAGTATAAACTGCTTCTCAATACTCCGATAAGTATAAGAGTATAAACTGCTTCTTACGACTCCAAAGAGTATACGAGTATAAACTGTTTCTCATTCCTCCTACCGGTATAAGAGGTTAAACTGCTCCCAGATACTCCGATAAGTATAAGAGTATAAACTGCTTCTTACGACTCCAAAGAGTATACGAGTATAAACTGTTTCTCATTCCTCCTACCGGTATAAGAGGTTAAACTGCTCCCTGATACTCCAATAGGTATATGAGTCTAAACTATTTCCTACCATTGACGGGAAGTTCCTGGAGGATATTACGCTAATATTCTTAAGGATAACCCGGTCGGACAACAAAATCAAACCCAGTTCCAAGAGAGAAGCTGGGGGTGGATAATCCAATGCATCGGGAAGTTCCCGAAAGAATACCACATGGGTATTCTTAGGGATAACCCGGTCGTTGTGGAATCGACGAATAAGGAATCTACATTCGAACTCTGAAGGTCAGAATGTCTCTTCTTATTCCCTAACTCTTATGAGTTATTTTTGTGAGAAGAGATCCAATCTTCTGATAGGTTAATCTTTCCTCACCAAACCATCCACTGATCAAATCAAACGACAGTGGACCCACCAACATTCCCATCTGTATGTCATTGGCATTTCTCAGACTTAACGTGCTAGGTCCTAGCATTAAAGCCTCCTCTTGAGTGATAATACGAGTTGGCATTTTCTTTGCTACTCGTATTCCACTTTCTGTGTTTTCTGGTCAAACCTGTAAAAGTTAGGGCCAAAGCCAAAATCCCCTCTCGATTCTCCCAATGAACGAAAGGTCCACCTTCAAATCGAGTGATCAAACCTTCTGACAGTTAGGGTCATCTCAAACTCCTGCCGGGTCAAACCTTCGTACAGTTAGGGCCACAGTCAAAATCTCCTCTCGATTCCCCCAATGAACGAGAGGTCCACTTCCAAATCGGGTAATCAAACCTTCCGACAGTTAGGGTTATCCGAATTGTTAAGATTCTCCGGGTGGAGATCCCACTCTTAGTTTCATCCTTCCGGATTCTGGGGGTGGAGATCCCACCTCGAGTTTCCTTTCCAGCTGTAGATAGAATATAAAATTCTTCCTCTTCAGCACCGGGAGATAGAATATAAAATTCTTCCTCTCCTCGGACCTTTCCGATGCTCGGAGTGGAGAACCCACTCCAGTTCATCATTTCCGGATTCTGGGGGTGGGGGATCCCACCTCAAGTTCCCTTTCCAGCCGAAGATAGAATATAAA